GGGGAGAGGCCTTCTGGTGCAGGGCCCACAGTGACCCCCCTCTCCTGACACCCCTTCTGCCTGCAGTGACCTCCCAGTGACTCCAGTCCCACTGGGAGGGACATCAGGTCACAGCTCTTACAGTCTAATCACTTCACCCCTGGATGTCCCCGACATGACGGGAGCTGTCGGGAGCCCCTCACACCCAAGCCACAAGAACATCAAAATCCAAAACTTCCCCCAGTCACCTGGGACCTTGAAGAGGGTAGGGGACAGAGCCAGCGCAGAGCACAGGGGAGTGAGGCCTGGGCTCCATCCGCAGCACCCACAAAAAGGAAAGAGGAAGAAGAGAGAGAGGGGAGAGAGACGGCCCACCGGCCCTGGGAGAGCGCTTCTGCAAACTCTGATCCAATCATAAGGTCTGATTCCAGAGTGGACGAAAGTCCTGGACGGACATTTCATGAGAGGMCAGTGAGCCCTGGCCACATGCTAGTCCTGACGGACATGCAATCAGAGCCAGGGTGAGCCTCCACGCGCTGTGGCACAGCCACACTCCAAACACAGACAGTGGCCAATGCTGCAGAGACTCTGGGGAAACTGGTCCCCTCAGACACTGCTGCTGGGAAGGGAACAAGTGGCAGCCACCTTGGAACCAGTCTGGCTCTTACAGAATGAAACACCAGCCAGGCGCGGGGGCGCAAGTCTGTCATCCCAGCAGCTGGGGAGGCTGAGGCAGGAGGATCGCAAGCTGGAGGCCAGCCTCAGCCACTAAGCAAGGCCCTCAGCAACTCAGCGAGACCCTGTCTCTAAATAAAATCTAAAAAGGGCTGGGGACGGGGGCTCAGGGGTTGGGCACCCCTAGGTTCAGGTCCTGGGACAATCAATCAATCAATCAATAAAATAATAAACAAGTAAACACAGAATCACCTTGTGACCCAGAAACTCTGCTCCAAGGACTTGCCCAAGGGAAATGCAAATATATGTCCTCAAGGACTCGTGTATGCAAGTGTCAACAGCAGAGTTATGCATAACAGGCCCAGGACGAAAAGGGTCTGCATGCCCATGAACTTGACACGGAGTGGAAGGTGGTTCCACGGGGTGCTGTACTGAGCCAGCCCATCATGGAGGGCCCCAAACCCTCACGCCCAACCAGAGAAGCCACACACCAGAGGCTGTGTGGGTCCCTGGGCATGGGACGCTCGGAAGCCCTCTCTACAGAGACCAGAGGTTCCCCCACGTGGTGACGCAGCCTGGGACCCAGCCACACAGGAGGCTGAGGTGGGAGGATTCCAAGTTCAAGGCCAGCTGCAGCAAGTTCAAGGCCAGCCTGGGCCATGGTGCCAGAGTCTCCATGGAAATAACAGGGTGGGGAGGTGACTCAGTGGGAGAGCACTCCTGGGTTCCGTTCCCAGGAAACACACACACACACACACACACACACACACACACATGCATGATCTGTGATTGCCAAGGACTAAGAAATTGGTCAAGGAATGAGTGAAACAGGCACAAAGTTTCTTCACGTGGTGATGGTAAGGATTTAAATTAAAATGGTGTCAGGCAGGGTGGCCCACACCCGTAACCCTAGAGGCTCAGGAGGCTGAGGCAGGAGGATTGCTAGTTGGAGGCCAGCCTCAGCCACTTCGTGAGTTCCTAAGCCACTCAGCGAGACCCTCTCTAAATAAAATACAGAAAGGGCTGGGGACGGGGATCAGAAGTCAGTACCCCTGGGTTCCATCCCCAGGACTAAAAAAACACAAAAAACCTCCTTTGGTTGTGGTGATGGACACACAACACCATAAATATTCTAGAAACCACGAGTGCCATCTGCAGTGTGTGAGTCATACCTTAATAAAGATCCACCAAACCACGATGACTGAATGCAGTCAAGGGACTTGGGTCGGGTGTGATGGGGACAGGGGCAAAATACGGGCTGAGTGTGAGACCTGGGTTTTGTGTAAACATTGATTTTCCTGAATGTAGCCCCTGGGCCCTGGGGACACGGGGAGAACGGAATGACATGTTTTTCGTGTGTCTTTGGCAGGTGGGGCGGGAACCCAGGACCTCACACGTGGCAGCCAAGGGATCTGCTTTGGAGCTCCACCCGCCAGTCTGCCTGTTGCCCTGGCCCCCAGCCCCAGTCCCCAGCCCCCAGCCCGTGCCTGTTCTTATCTCAGGAGAAACGCACAGAAGGGTTCTTTAGAGGTAAAAGTCAACCCATCGCACACCCCTGGTGACAGTCTACAAGGAAAAAACGTTTTTTAAGACAAAAACTTGGTAGAATGTTGCTAATGATGAGTTTGGGTGGAAGGCGGGCGGCAGAGACTTGTTTTCATTGGATGATCTTGCAGCTCTGCCCGAAGATTGAGATTATTTCAAAATAACTCTTCCAACCCTTTTTTTTTTTTTTGCTATCTGGATTGAACCCAG